CAGTCACAAATTAGAAATCCCAATCAATTGCATCAAAATCCCTAAATCCTAAAAGCCCTAATTAGAAATCCATATCAATTTCATCAAAATCTCAAAATCCCTAAATCCCTAATTAGAAAATGGAAAACAGGAGCAGGGGCAGGGGGCGACGGACTGACCTCATCACAGCACAGGAGCAGGGCTGCAGGGGGCAACGGAGTGGCGACTAGCTAGCCTAGCAGTCTGGTGTCGCAACTAGCAAGCTCGCGGTCTCTTTGTCGCTGCGACACTGCTGTCGGTCTGGTGGAGACGTGGAGTGGCTCGCGGTCTAGATGTCTGGTGCCTGGTGGAGTGGCTTGCGGTGGAGTGGTGGAACCTATGGCTGTGGACCTGTGGTGGTGGAGTCGCGGCAGTAGGGGCAGATGGAGATAGAGAGGGAGAGGAGAGTGTTGGGCTCGCTGGAGAGAGTGGAGAGGGTTGAGAGTTTTTAGATTTTTAATTTTCCTTTTATATTAAAAAAAAACTTTAAAATCTGGGGGGGGGGGGCACGTGCCCACCCAGGCCACCCCCCAGGTCCGTCCCTGGGAGGCATAAGGTTTATTTTTTAGATTCGGTTGGTGTATACTTATGGTTGAAAAGGATGTCTAACAATATAAAGCATGGGTGTTATTACATCACAATCTTGTTGTATGTCAGCTCGCTACCCTAAAATCTAGAGTAATGCTATTCGACAATATTAGTGTTAAGCACCACTCTAGGTGGTTATACTTAATAGCACTTGCAAGCATGAAATAATATAAGAATAATGTTATCTAATACCAGTTGCATTCGAGTAGCAGTTTATGTGGTTATACTTGATATGTCCAATTAAATGAATTATTTGACTATGTATTTAAATGAATTTATCATTTAATGTCACTTAATTGCCACAGATGGGTGCTAAGCATCAGTAAAGATGAATAGCATTACTTTAAGGGTGTGTTTGATTGCTAGAATTTGTATGGAAAGAAAATAAATTCTAAGGAATTCAATTGCCAGAACTTATTTAAATGAAAATTATTAAATAAATGTATTTGATTGATTTAGTTTTCATCCTAAAAAATATTATACTTGTCCATTTTTTATTAGTGGATAGATGAAAGAGAGAGAAAGAGATAGTAGGAAAATAAAAACCACAACTTCTTGAAAAAATGTTTTCCTCGTTTTTTTAGGAAAATATGGTCACATAACCAAAAGTTAGAAAATATTTTCCATGAAAAAAGTTGTCAATCAAGCATCCCAAAAATATGAATTTGAGTGGTATAATGATATTTTTCATGGAAAATAAAGTCAATCAAATACACTCGAACTATAGTGCCACATGATTTATTTAATTGAACTTATCAATGTAAAATGCTCTAACATAACTGGTGATAGATAACATTATTTTAAAATCATAACTTGAAAATTTCAAGTGGATGAATAAGGATGAAGAATGGGGCTCTAAACCTTACATGCCCAGCTTCTTGATTAAAACATCTTTCTTATCCTCTTAAATAAACCTTATATTTTTACTTCATCTTTTCAAAACGTTGTTATTGCCAATATATTTAAAAGGAAGGACTAAAAGGACCAGAAAAAAAAAAAAGAAGAAGAAGCTCACCCCATCAGTTCCTTTTTTCTTGCCAGAAGAATGATCTGAAGCAAGTTTTTCTTTCAGGCCACGTTTGGATGAAGTGCTTGATGAACATTCTATAAATTTGGAATTTTTTTCTCTGCCACTGGACTTGTCTGTACCACATGGAAGCTTTCTTCG